GAGTGTCCTGGAATCCCCCTCCCGTTGGAAGTAGTGAAACTATTTTTGAACAGTTTCACTTCTTGCCTGGGTTCTGCCAAGGACTGCTCCTGGCATCCACTACTCTAGTCGGAGAGCTTGACGTTCCTAAGCAAGAACTTCTGTTAACTCTCCTATGCAAGGCTTAGCTCACTGGAGAGCAATCAGCTAAGTTGTTTTAATGTGTTAATTTGATTGAATGGGTATATAAAATCTGTTTATTTATATAAACTGTGTCCAATTACTGGTAAAGGGATACTATAGTGCCAGGAATACAAAGCTGTATTCCTGGCACATCGCTCCCCCTGCTCCCTCCCTCGTGCCCCCCCTTACTTTATCCCAGCGCCCATGTCCCTCGGCGCTGGGTCGATGCTCTGCCTCCTCCGACGTCCAGCGACGAGTGGGCACTAATGCGCATGCGTGGCAAATGCAAGTTTTTGGAGTGTTTTGTATATACCATGGTATATTCCTCTTCTCTTATGTGGGAGCTGGAATGTATTCTGTATGTTCAATTTACAGCTCACTGTTTCAGAGACCTTATTGTGATGATTTTTTATGGATTTAAATAAGTGACCGCTTTCATACTATAGTGCCTTTGGTTCAATTGAAGAAAGCTTGATAAAAACCATAGGGACTGCACTTTGCTAACTACAATAAGCTGCAGTAGTTACAGTTCTTACAGTGTCCTTTATTCTGTGCTGGACATGCGCATTGCAAAGCTGGGTTAAGGAAACTGTATATCGATGTAACTATGTTATCTTTCCAACGTTTCCTCCCACCATTTTGAATTGGGGTAAATTTTCTTCACTAAACACTGAATCATGGTGAACTAAAAAGTGAATTTCAAAAATTAGGCAAAAAGTGCTGATTTGGAGATAAAAATAAATAAATCGTATTTTTATACTTGGGATGCTGTATAATGTAAAGCAGTGCTTTTACTCCAGCCATTCCTCGAGGGTCATCAATGAGGTCTAGATGTGAGGAAATAAGTAATGCGGGAAAAGTCCCCAAATCATGGAGTGTTAATGACCTGTAAGACTGGTTTGAGAACCGATGGTGTAGAAAAGGTTTGAGACATGAGTGGGATCTACATATAACACAAGCTATTATTGGAGAATGTTACTACATCTGTCATACAAAGTATCTCGTGTTGAGATGAGTGATTACAACACAGATTGTATGCTTTTCTTCGATAGCAGTAAAAAGTAAAAGGGGCCTTGAAGGTTGAGCTTGATTTGGGTATGTTTGTAGTCTATGTAAAATGTCTGAAAATAGATTTATATGGACTGTAAGCATTATAACGTCCACAGTTCATTTTGGTGATAATGGTGCCGTCTGTTTTCTAAGTTTTTTGACTGAAAAGATTAGAAACATCTTTCCTGCCCCATTGCTGTGGTCGAGCTGGTATTGGTGTGAAGTTCAGAATAAGCCATTATCAATGCAATGACAGGCAACATGTATATATCCCATAGATGGGTGGGTGGGCCATGAAGGATGAGTTGCCAGTGATTCAAGTTGCATAATGAGAAGTTCCACTTTGAAAAAGGAGTTGTCCTGCCCAGCTGATCCCCCAACCTATAGGACTTGCAGAGAGCCCTGTTGAAAGGCTCTCTGCAGGGTCCTAGTGCCCGTTTACAGTATGATTAGTGGTGTATCCTGGTTTTGTGCTGCCCTAGGCAGGACAAAACTCAGGCGCCCCCAAACACCTCCCCACGTGCGACCCCCACCCATCCCTTCCCCCCCCGCCCCGCCTACTAACTACACACACACACTCACTGACAGATACGCATACACTAGCTAACAGAAACACAAACTCACTGACACACACAGACACTCACTAGCAGGCAAACATACACACAGTCAGACACACACAAACACTCACTGACACACACTCACAGGCAAACACACTCACACTAACAGTCATACACACACACACTCACTAACAGACACACTCACATTAACGCATTTTTTTTTTTAACCCCCCTCCAGTCTCCTTACCTTTGGGAATGCTGGGAGGGGGGGGGAAGGGTTTCCTTTCTCCCTGGAGGTCCAGTGGCTGCTGGGCGGGCGGCTGGCGAGGGAGCTCTTCCTCTGAGCGGTCTGCTCAGATCCCTCGCGCGCCTCAGAGTGAGGATGGGAGCCGGAATATGACGTCATCTTCCGGCTCCCAGCCTCACTCTGCGGCGCGCAAGGGAGCTGAGCAGACAGCTCAGAGGAAGAGCTCCCTTGCCATCCGCCCGCCCAGCGCCGCCCACCCGCCTGGCATGTCTGTTAGCAGCAAGGCTAACTAGGCATTTGCCCTGGGCATTTGGGGGGCTACTAATGGGGGGGAGGAAGGGGGAGGAGACAAACTTGTACAAAAAGAAATAAGACAAACCTTTAAAGGGACACTATAGTCACCAAAACAACTTTAGCTTACTGAAGCAGTTTTCGTGTATAGATAATGCCTTTTGAAATTTCACTGCTCAATTTAATGCCACTTGGGTGTTAAATCACTTTTGTTTCTGTTCATGCAGCCCTAGCTGCACCTCCTCTGGCTGTGACTCTCTCAGCCTGCATAACAAAATGGTTTCCCTTTCAATCAGATGTAACTTACTTTACGTTTTTATCTCCTGCTCTATATATTTTAACTTTAATCTCACACAGGAGCCTCCTGCATGGTCTAGCAAGCTTATAACAGACCAGGAGATACAAAATTCTAAATTGAACACACTGTGCAATAATGGAAGTGTAAACATTAGATGACTCTTTACAGGAAGTGTTTAGGAAGGCTGTGTAAGTCACATGCAGGCAGGTGTGACTAGTGCTGCATAAACAAAGTAATTTAACTCCTAAGTGGCAGAGTATTGAACATTGAGACTACAGGGGCATGTTTTATACACCAAAACTGCTTCATTAAGATAAAGTTGTTTTGGTGACTATAGTGTCCCTTTAATTTTAACAAATCATGTATGACACATGTGAATAGTAGGTGAAGAGGGCATTGCCCAAACGAGCTCAATCTAATGAAGTATCAGGGAAGGAGCTTTAGTTTGACGAAGTTGGTGGATGAGGTGCCCACTGGCTCATTGCAACTTTATGAGTACAATGAACTGCAGTGGTAATTGTGCTTAGAGTGTACTTTTTAACTATTATGTTATTATATCACATTTAAAGAAACATTAAACTCAGGAGCACACTGAATAATAACCCTTTTGTTAGAACTTTTTCTATTTCACTAGTTTGGTGACCCATTCTCCAAATTGAAAACTAGCTCCGTCGCCCATTCTATATTGTAATAGAATACTAGAAATTCAGAAAAACATTCCATTAATCTCTTCCAAGTCTAATATCTCTCCATTGCACCAGTGAAGGCAATTTAGGTACAGTTTCTTGCGGGCTGCTTCTTAGGGCTGCCTGTACCCCTTTGAAAATAGCATGATTCCTATTTATTGGTTCAATAAAAGGGTTTTATAACCATTGTGTAAAATGTGCTGGGTAGATACCTAAGCCATAAGGCTATACATGGATTCCTTTGTAATGAGTGAGTCTTCGCAAGCTATTCCAAGCTGCCTACGTTACATGTGCCAAGGGAGTAACTAGCCTCCGGCACAAAATTGATTATATCCCTGGAAGTTCAGTGTTTCAGGAAGGAACGCTGCACATACAGACCCCTGCCACTATAGTGACTTCAAATCACAGAAGTGGTTATAGTGCCTGGAGTAACCCTTTAATTCATCTGGGTCAGGGCTCAAACGTTTAAGTCCTGCTGCATGTTATTTTGTAACATAAAAGACAGTTATTCACTGATATTTCTAGATTATAACACCCTCTGATTATAATACACCGATCCCCATAGAATTTGCACTTGAAGTACTGCTGTATCATTGAGCGCTTTTTGATTATCACCCATACACTAACGATAATAAATTCAGCACAGTTGTTGCATTGATTTTGTTTGTCATTGATTTTAGGAAGGATGTTTGTCTCCTTGTGTTGGAGAACTAGCAAACACAGCCCTGATGTTTTATTCCACTTCCCCTGAATCAATGAATGTCTACAATTAATATATCCCACCCCACCAAAAAATGAAGTTGTTTCTTACGGTCATTCTAGACAACTAGATGTTTAAGCAGAAGCAATGTGTTGCAAAATAAAATACCGAAATTAAATTAGAACCAAAAATGTTCTGCTGCTTTTGCATTACCCCTTGATTACATTGGTGCAAACGGTAGATCAGATGTGCCCAAAAGGTAGATCACCGGACGTTGTAGAACTAAAACTCCCATCATGCGCTGCATGCCTTTAGAATGACAAAGCATCATGGGAGCTGTAGTTTTAAAACAGCTGGGGATCTACCTTTTGAGCACCCCTGCTGTAGATCATCGGCTACTAGGCTTAGAGTGGTGAACGTTTCATTCCATCAGCAGTTGGAGGTATTGTTGCTGAATTTCAGTACAGTTGTCTTGCTCTAATTTCTTTGTAAACCTCTAATAAGGGTGTAAATGTTAGTCTGTGCACAGCATCTAACCGCAGAGGTGTAGGGTTGGGTCTGAAACTGTGTGCTGGGCTGGCTGGTAGAATGTACCGATATCAATGCCAACGTAGGAAGCCAGAGGTGAAGTAAGGAAATGTGCTTATAAAATACTCTAACATTATGCAACAGAGACACAACCTCAGCTCAAATATTGCTGGCCTGCTAAAGTTACTGCCTCCTATAACACAAGGATAAAGGCTTTCTGTCCTACGCAGTAAAGTTTGTGCTATCTGTATATTTTGCAGATTACAAAACAATATATTCATTCCTTTTCCTGACTTGCACGATTAGTTCAGATCAAAAGGACAGGAAGGAACCCTTTTCATTTCTCAAAGTTCAAATCTGCAAATATAGATTCAGAAGAGTGCCACATCCTCTAATTTCATTTCATTGACAATGTTTCCACCATCACTAGGGCTTTCATCAAGACTGGGCTTTTGTATGTTTTTTTTTTTTTGCTCTTTCGCTTGTACATAGTAGATTGTTCATTGTTTTTACTGTACCCAACACATTATGCTCCGAGAGTCTCACTGACCAACGCAGACATAAGCTGCAGAGTAATGAAAGGGTTTATTGTATGTGGATATTGTGCACCTTATTTCCATCTGCAACTCGATTTAGCTGCTACATGTGAAACAATCCTCCCTTGCATTTATAAACTGGAAATTTCAAGCATTTAAAATCCATCTACAGAAACCGGCTGAGCTGGAGATGTTCATTAGGAAAGCAAGAGGTCACAGTACACCCCTTAGGTAATGGGGGCAGCAGGTCTGTTACAGATAGTTCAAATGCAGATGTGTAATTTCTATATGCAGTGACCCTAGGGCACATTTGTACCCCTCCAATTAAAAGAACACTCCAAGAACCGTAACCACTGCAGTGTTCTGTAGTGGTTATAGTGGCAGTCCCTGCCCCCCACCATTTAAGGAATGAAACTGTTTGCCAATACTTTGACTTATCACCTGGGGTCCATTGGCAACCATTCAACCCCTATTGAAAATCGGGTTTATTGTAAAAACGTACAGACCTTTAGCTATTTGCAATGAACAAATCAAACGAAAGCAGTTGAAATAGCTCAACACAATAAATGCTTCAATTGGTTTCTCCAAATCCAATGGAAAATGCAACTTATAACGATTTCTCCAGTCTCAAAATGATTCAACTCCTTCACGGTAAGCATCTTTAGTACTTGGTAGAGCACACGTTTGCGGTTATGATCTGCTACAAACGAGATGCATAGCCAGGCACCAGCTTCTAGCATCAGTCCTGTAAAATCTTAGCCCATTGATCATGAGCAATGGCCTCCAATTCAGAAATATTCTTGGGTTTGCCTGCTGCAACAGCCTGCTTCAAATACCACCAGAGATTTTCAGGTGGCTGTGATGGCCAATGTAGAATTTCCCAGGACTTCTTCTGCAGTCAAGCCTTGGTGGAGTTTATGTTTGGGATCATTGTCTTGTTGGACGGTCCAATGACAGCAAGCTTCAGCTTCCTCACAAGCGGCATGATGTTTTCTCCTAGGATTTCCTGATACTTTAATAAATCCATCTTGCCTTCCACACGCTGCAGGTTTCCAGTAACAAAGGATGCAAAGCAGCCCCAGAGCCACGACCATGCTTAACTGAAGGCAGAATGTTCTTTTCAGCATATACTTAATTCGTCTTTCTCCAGACATACCGCTGATCCATGGGGCCGAAAAGTTCCAGTTTTGTTACATCTGTGGATTATTTATATGATTTTGAGCATATTAAAGCTGACCTTTATTTGTGCTTTAGGATCAGTAGTGGTTGTGCATCTTGGAGTTGGAAACCTTCTGCGTATAGTACGCATCTTACTGTGCTTACTGAAACCTCCGTGCTCAGTGCCACCACGTCTTGCTGCAAGTCTTTTGCAGTCACTATTTTTCACAACCTGCCTTCTCAACCATTGATAGCTTCCTTTTTCTGTCACGGCCTGGTAGTGTAGCCATTGTTCCTTCAAGTTTGAACTTGTGACCTATGCCTCAAACGGTGTCTCTAGGAACTCCATGCTTTTGCTATTTTTTTTTGTCATGTTCTTTGTTTGTGAAGCGTGGTGATCTCTACTCTTAACTTTGTGGACCATTGTTTTGACTTAGCTATGTTTCTAACATGCAGTCAGACTTGACACTTAACAAACCCCTAGTCAGTTCAGCTATTTCAAGTGTTCCAGCTCAAGCACACCTGATGCAACTAATGAGGCCCTTGGTTAGTTGCATGAGGTGTACTTGAGACAATACTTTCTGGTGTATACTGCAGTATGTCATGCACTATAGCCTGTTTCTATTAATTGTCCTGCAGTAGTATACTCTGTTCTGTGTATACTAATTAACCCAAAAGTATACTCGTTCTTGTACACCATTCTGTACCCTGTCTGACCCTCTCTATCCTTTAATAATGCATGACCCCTGTTTGTGGAATAGCGGGCTGCTGCTATCTAACCCCTTATTGTGTCCTGGGGGGCTAGCTAACCCATTGCTGTGTCCTGGGGGGCTAGCTAACCCCTTGCTGTGTCCTGGGGGTGTTTATCTAATCCCTACCTGTGTACTGGGGGGCTAACACCTTTCAGTGTCCTGTGGGGCTAGCTAACCTCTTTTTGTGTCCTGGAGGGCTAACTAACTGGAGAGGGGGTATCTAATCTCTCTCGGTGTCCTGGGGGGCTATCTAATCAATCCCCTTTCTGTGTCCCAGGAGGCTAACTAACACCTTTCAGTGTCTGGCTGGGGGGGTGTTTAATCTCTTTCTGTGTTCTGGGGGGCTATATAATCTTACCCATTTCTGTGTCGTGGTTGGGGGCTGTCTTAACCTTTTTCTGTGTCCTTGATTGCAGTGACCCCTGCAACCCCGGTATGTACGCCACTGCCTGGGGGGATCTCTATTCTATTCTATATTTCTGTGCCCTGGGGGGCTCTCTATTCTATTCTATATTTCTGTGCCCTGGGGGGCTCTCTATTCTATTCTATATTTCTGTGTCCTGGGGGGCTCTCTATTCTATTCTATATTTCTGTGTCCTGGGGGGTTCTCTATTCTATTCTATATTTCTGTGTCCTGGGGGGGTGCTCTCTAATCTATTCTATATTTCTGTGTACTGGGGGGCTCTCTATTCTATTCTATATTTCTGTGTCCTGGGGGGCTATCTATTCTATTCTATATTTCTGTGCCCTTGGGGGGCTCTCTATTCTATTCTATATTTCTGTGTCCTGGGGGGGTGCTCTCTAATCTATTCTATATTTCTGTGTACTGGGGGGCTCTCTATTCTATTCTATATTTCTGTGTCCTGGGGGGGAGGGGGCTCTCTATTCTATATTTCTGTGTCCTGGGGGTGGCTCTCTATTCTATTCTATATTTCTGTGTCCTGGGGGGCTCTCTATTCTATATTTCTGTGTCCTGGGGGGGCTATCTATTCTATTCTATATTTCTGTGTCCTGGGGGGCTCTCTATTTTAACCACTTTCTGTGTCGAAGGTGAGGCTAACACCTTTGTCTGGGGATGAGGGGGGACGCTAACCAATTTATGTCTTTAAGGGGGCTGGAGGGGAGGGCGCTGTCTGCCCCTGTGCTATGCTCTGCCCCTCTCTCTCTCTCTGGGGGTGTGGTGATGATGATGATGATCCTGTATTTTGGGGCTTTTCCAGAAAAAGAAGCTGATTCAGAGCCGGACTCTGAGCAGGAGGACCGCGGCCAGTGAAGCTGATCTGCCGGGTACGGTGAGACCTGGGGCCCCGGGAAGGAGAATAGGGACAAGTCACCATCCTGGGACAGATAGCGGCTCCCAGACCGGCCCGCGGGGACATACGGGATGGGGGACGATTAAGGTGTCCCCTCCGAACTCTATGGACTCCCCATGTCCCTCTCTATATACCTTACACTCATTTTATTCTCATGGGGTAACATTTCTCATATCCAGTCATTGCCCAGAAACGTATTATTGTTACAGATTAATAGTTAAAGGGATTATTCTGTGTGTGAAAGAAAATGTCCACTTGTCATTATTGAAGTTACAGCTGTAAGCAAGTATAAAGTGTGATTTCACTATGGGTTGTATGTGAGTAGTAATGAATACAGTATTCTGTTTGATAGAACTCTGGGATGTTAGTATCTCTTAGTGGCTCATTAGACACTCATGGCTGATGTTTGGCAAGTAGACCACATCAGTTGGAGTGCCCTAGGCTAGCCATCACTGTCCATGGGTTATAATCTCAGATTATCCAAGTAGGGGTTATTACCCTAAATCAGGGGTACCCTAAAGGTAGATCCCCAGATGCTGTAGAACTCCCATGATTCTTTGCATGCTTTTAGAATGACAAAACATCATGGGAACTGTAGTTTTAAAACATCTGGGGATCTACCTTTTGGGCACTCCTGCCATAATGTCTGTGGGCTATTTCACTGCATTAATTCTGCTCTCAGTATTTGTGGGTAACTAATTGGATGTTGTTGTCGTTTTTATGTTTGTCTCCCTAGGGCTACTTATTTCTTTGGTATTTTCATCGACACCTCGTCAACTAATCCGAAAATGCTGGGCGTTGGGTTTCTGTTAGTAATGCTGTCCTTAGTGATATCCTCTGCTCCGTACCCCTTCCTCGGTGCACGCTGCCCTGCTCGCTGTGACCAATCCTCGTGTGCCCCAGCGCCTGCTGGCTGCGCGTCTGGAGAGACTGCTTTGCACTGTGGCTGCTGTCCTGTGTGCGCAGCAGCAGAGGGCGAACGCTGCGGAGAGGGTGCTGGTGATCCACTGTGCGCTACGGGGCTACGTTGTGTTAGAAGTGCAGGTACCGGTGGTCAACGGACATGTCAATGCCCAACTTCTCAACCAGTGTGTGGAAGTGACGGTAAAACCTACAGCAACGTGTGCAAGCTACAGACAGAAAGTCGATTGGTTCAGGCCAAGGGGTCAGCATCTATTATTCCTATCCAGAGAGGGGACTGTCTGCAAGGTAAGCCACGCAACCTGATTCTCAAGAACATCACAACACTAAGAAATGACAGTTTTATAACTTTTTGAAACTTGTTTTATTGCTTTCCCTAAGTTTAAAGGGTAATCCAGACGTGGACCCCTTGCGCGCGGTGCCTAGAGGGATATCAGTTATACATCACTGACTATGCCTAACAAGGTTAAAACGATCAGCTGAGGTTTCTGTATCTTTAGTGCCAAGAGAGCCGGATTGCATTTTTGATCTGGGCCACCTATTTGGGTGGGATCAGTCTGATTTGGAAAATGCCTGGTTCTTTTTGTAATTGCACAAGATGAATTAAAACCAGCTTGAGATCTGAGCCAGGATCTACCGAAGGGCAGGCTAACTGAACTGTTGTCCATTCTCTGTACTCTCTTGCAACTTGTTTTTTTTTTTTTTAACTTCTTCAATAATGATAGTTCTATATATGAGGTAATTGTTATGGAAAAAAAATAGAATCAGTTGGAACATTCTATTTGTTTCCCATGCTGATCATCCCATTTGTAGAAGTTTCTGCATGCAATCCACCCCCATGTATAGAGGTACAAGTTGTGGGTGAGCTAAAACGTAGGCTATCCATTCATTTGCTAATATAAAATGAAATGACTAAACTATGAATCAAGGAACACAATGTAAATATCTGACTCTTCCAAACAAAATCTATTTTTTTGTGAATAACTGAACTGCCATTTCAGCATCAGTGTGTGATTTGGAAGGCGGTGGGGGAATATTTGCAAACTCAAAAAAATTACACTGTTTGACAATGTCGTGCTACAAAATTGGCACCCAATACATAGTTCTTAGATGTCCTCACAATGACACATACACTGCATTGTAAATCTGACCACAGGGTTGCCAGATGTCTTTTTATTTAACTGAGGATACTTATAAGAATTGAGCAGGATATTAAAATCATTCATGCACTGTATACCATGTGATAAATACATAGCATTCTCGAATATAAGGGAGATCTAATTATTATATAAAATACAACATGTGGAGAGACACTTAGTATAATTGCTACCACAATTATGGGTGCTATTCCAAGAAGGTACTCCCTTCAATACCAATATAGCAAATATTCAAAAAGAAAGGAATGCACACCAACTAATACAATAATGTATATCTATATATATTTTATTACAATACAAATCCAAGTCTCACATAAAAAATGTAACAGTGACCAAAGAGGCAAAAAAAGTTTAACAATATATTTACCAAAATTCCACAAGCCTATATGGGCAGAAACACGAGTCACAAATAATCCCCCAACGTTTCGGCTCCTCCTGGTAGCCTTTATCAAGGCTTTTTTTGCCTATTTGGTCACTGTTACATTTTTTATGTGAGACTTGGATTTGTATTGTAATAAAATATATTTAGATATACATTATTGTATTAGTTGGTGTGCATTCCTTTCTTTTTGAAGATCTAATTATTATACCCAGTTTGATAACATGTAAGTATATGGTTGTGTAAATGTATCCTTCAATCTTCATTTCATTTTAAAGGGACACTTCAGGGTGGAGTTTGCTACTTATTTTATGAAATACGTTATAGAGATCTTGATTAAAATAAATAACATACTGCATGCCTACCAGTTGTAGTAAATGCTAAACCCTGATCCTTTCCTTATTACATCCTCTTCATCAAGAAATTGCCCTCTCTCGTTCTGTCCGCTAATCCAAGTCCTATCGGATGTTTCTATGGGAGAAATGTATATTTCCCCTAGTCCTCTGCTATGCAAATCAGGAGTGTTTGGAAACTTTCGCAATAGAACTGGTCAGAAAGCCACCTTCATCATAGAACATGAATGAAAATGTTATTTAATCATCATAAAAATGTTGCTTTTAAGAAAATCAGGTTTTAGAATGTCGATTGTCACTAACTCACATTTTGTGAATTAAATCCAGCTGATTTGGAGAAATGATCCAATTATACTAAAGTCATGACATTATTTTATAACCTTAGTGTTTTATATGTGAAGTCTAAAATGCTGAGTTTCCTGGATAACCCTGAAAGTAATATTACTTTTATTAAAAAGCTATTATGTTGGCCTGTCTTATTACATTGTGGGGTACAGTGGTATGCCCCCCAATGGAGATGCCATGGACTGTATCCCACATCACTTTCAGCTAATGGAGAGGGACAAAAGCTGCAACATGCATCTTAAGTGCCATGCAGCATTGCTGAAACAAATCTTGTAATTTTTTACCAGTTATTTTGAATGGAAAGCCATTTTCAAAATCTAGTCTTAAGGGGTTGGAAGATGTACGTTACACAGCAGGTACATACATGGAGTTTGAATCATTTTGTTCTGCTTTGCTATGGAAAACGAAATCTAATAAATAAGCTGGTTTTACCGCTATGGCTTTAGTCATTCCTACTACCAAGTGAAGAAGTAATGTAAAATGCATGTTCAATATAAGAAACAGGTGCTGATGGAGGGGGAGACTAGGTAATACCTAAGCATATGTGCAGGTTGCAATGTCTTATACAAAACAGAATTCTCCAGTTTTAGCCAGGAAATAATTTGCCCTCTCTGTGCACTATGCCAACAATAATTGTCAAAATGTTTATAAGCTACTGGAATTTTGGGAATCTACATTTCCCAAAATGCTAGCATATTCCTTTAAATAGCCACAAGCAGGTTATTTGACGATTTGGATACCAAACATGTGTTCTAAATTATGTTTAATTTTCTGTCTACTTTTTCAGCAGAATTTCAAAACCAATAACACAGTATATTTTCTAACAAAAAGTACTGATATCACAACAATGTGCCAAGCAGGGGGCCAGGCCTGTTATGCACAAGAGGGCATAGAACTGGGGGTCAGTGCACCATAACAACTACAGCGGGTTAAACTAGTTATGGTGCTTAGAATGCCCCTGTAATGTTCTTGACAATAAGAACTATAGATTTTTGCAATGCCACTATAGCTACTGTAGAACAATTTTAATTTCAATAGCTCATTGTCCCTCATTACATTATGGTGCCAGGAGTGCCTTGGCGCTCCCAATTTTAAAAAGTCAAACAGTTTTTAAATGGTTTGATTTCTTAGCTGGGTACGTCACCAGGCAGAGATCCACGCTGTGGTGCAACACTAATCAGGAAGACTCCCAATCCCTTGAAATATACGAAATGTAGAGAACAGATGTTCAAAATGCAGACCTAACTACAGTAGAATGGCAAGAGCCTTTCTCAAGCCAGGAGAATAAGGTCTGTGCTGCAGGGCTTAGCTCAGCAGAACTAATGGAAATTCCTGCTCAGAAACTTATGGCTCTCCAATATTGGTGAGTAAGGAGGAGAGCAATGTCCGGTGGACCCCCATAATTAGTCAAAACATAAAAAAATTGTATTACTCCTTACAATGGGTGGGGGGTACGGTGCTCGGAGAGTTTCATTAATTAAGGTGACCATAATGATCCGTCATATTTGCCATTAATGATCCCTCATATTTGCCATACACCTGAGATATATCCTTTAGGGTAGTAATGATACTGTGTCAATGGAGCCATGCGGTTTTCTTTATAAAGACTGTAATAAAATGTGAAGTAGCCACCCTTCAGTCTGTAGCACACACAGTCTCTTTATTTCATTTCTCTCCATTTCTCACAGGACAGAAAGATCCAGACAGCCCGCGGTACAAATACAACTTCATCGCTGATGTCGTGGAGAAGATCGCACCAGCTGTTGTGCACATCGAACTTTTTCGCATGTAAAGTACTCTGTTGGGATGTGTTAAACATAGTTCAGATCGGGACATGATAACCATAAATGGCACACAGGATGTTTTCACTGCAGATCACATATGGGTTATGTAAACCTCTGTCCCATTATTATTTATATAGAATGTTCACTGTAAACTGCGTTGGTCAACAAGATTTATCGTGTTTAGGCATGTGTATCCAGAGACACAGCCTTTAAAACTTCAGTTCTTGGTATATCAAGGCTCCCTGTCAGTATCCGCCTATTGCTAATGGGCTTTTTAATAGCTCTATATATAGATTTCTTTTTATTTCTACATGTTTCAGATGTTCATATTATCTGTTAGATAAGATTTTTGTTGGGCGTTTATTCCGTATACTAATTTTCCAGCTTGGCTATTTTGTCCTAAAAGCTACAGTCCGTCCTCTTTTGTTTATTCTCTATAATTCCCAGTTTAGAGAATAAAGCCATTGTGTCTCTAATTTTCACATTCTGTTCAAATAGTTTGCAGCCTCCAGTCCTCGTTGTTGAACTGTAAGCATATTGCTTAGTGATGCAGAATGTCATTTATTTGATTATATAATAATTAGAAAAGTTCTAGGCTAGGCAATGTACCTCAGTGGTCCAAAATGACAGAATTTAATGGTGCTGGAATCAGCCGTGGCTTTCTACAAGCTAGTCAGCAGCATTATTTCTCAGGTGTCCTCTTTGCTTACATATGTGATGGTGGTTGCCTTTTTGGGGGATAGCCTCAGTCATTTAATTGAAATATTACACCACCAAAAGGTCCAGAATTGTGTCGCTAAATTCACCTTGAATTTGCACAAAAAGTAATTTTTAGTCCAAAATAGCAGTATTCAAAGAAACCCTTATTATCCAGTAAATATTACTAGTAAGGGTTGGTTGGTGTTGGTGGTACACCCTAGGTCTTAACCCTAATTAACTTGGAATAATTCGATTTAGAGAAATCCCAAAGGAAGACCCCTAGATTGGTATTTATACGGAACACTTCACAGTCCTAAGAGTAAATTCAGCGTGAAGGAAAGTAGATACAATTTGGTAACAGAGTAATTCACTGTGTTACTTTTTCAGTAATTTATTAGGCTTTATTTATTAATTGCCCAAATGAAAACTGACATAAAGTGTAACTCTGTTTACCAATTAGATTAGGGTGTCTGTTAAAGGGACACTATAGTCACCTGAACAACTACAGCTTAATGTAGTTGTTCAGGTGAGATCTATAGCTCCCTGCAGGCAATCTAATGTAAACACTGTATTTTCAGAGAAAATACAGTATTTACATTGATTGATAGGAATACCTCCAGTGGCCATCACTCAGACGGCCACCAGAGGGACTTCCTATCATGTAAGGCCCTAAAAAGGCCTTGTACATGTCACATGTATTAAAATACGTCTGACATGTGCAGGAGAGAGAAGGCACTGTGCGCGCGCCTTCTCTCTCCTGCCTGTCAGCAGAGGAGAGGGGGCGGGCAAAGACCGCAAGCTGAGCTGTCAGTCAGCTCAGCTCGCATGCGCGGTAGTGCGCTCAGGACTTCAGAGGGTGGCATGAATGCCGCCCTATGAAGTATGTGTGCATGTGCGGTGAAATTGAAGCGTCTGATTGCTCCATGCTGGCACCCGCCTATTTTGTCATTTTGATGAAATAGGGGGCGCGGCTTCACAAGGCTCCCAGCACTGGAACCAGGTGAGTAAAATCCTCTGCCTGGAGAGTCCCTTTAAGGTAATGGGAGTATCACAAATCCTTCTAAAGAATATGCATCAGACTTCCACTCCTGGACCTGTTCTATAGGAGTAGAATACAATTTTCTAGTTCAATCCCAAAGTGGGGTCTAATCTAAACAAAATTGGAAAGGGAGAGATCACTAAACAATTACTTACCGTACAGACAACCTAAATGTGGATTTAAAGAAAGTATTGCCACATTAAGGATGATGCTGATTAGAGAGAGGGGAGTAGGGATAGCTATTAGAAGTCATAATATCAGTCTCCTTTAATCCATTTTTCCACTATATCAAAATTGGCTCTGATTGGTGCCCCATGTTGGAACCCATATCCCTTCGTTCCTTTTTTACATATAACAGGACTTAAAATTTCCACTCGTCACTAGCCAGTGGAAAATGGTGAGTGAAAATGTAACACTGGTAAGTAGACATTAAAGGGACACTATAGTCACCAGAGCAACTACAGCTTATTGAATTTGTTCTGGTGAGTAGAATCATTACCTACAGTCTTTTTGCTGTAAACACGGTCTTTTCAGAGAAAATGCAGTTTTTACATTACAGCCTAGTGATAACTTCACTGGCCACTCCTCATATGGCTGTCAGAGATCCTTCCTGGGTCATGGCTGCCTAAAATGCATCCAAACATTCAGTATCTCCTCCCTCTGCATGCAGACACTGAACTTTCCTCCTAGAGATTCATTGATCCAATTCATCTCTATGAGGAGATTCTGATTGGCCAGGGCTGTGTTTTAATCATGCTGGCTCTGTCCCGATCTGCCTCTTTGTCAGTCTCAGACAATCCTATGGGGAAGCATTGTGATTGGATCAGGCTACCACTTCTGCTGATGTCGGCAGGCAGTGGGCAGGTCTAAAGGAAACAGGCACAAAGCATGCAGCTGCAGACTTAAATACAAGTAAGATTTACTATATTTAGAGAGGCATGAGGGGACCAGAGTGGCTAGATGGTGGCTTTAACCCTATAGGGTCAGAAATACATGTTTGTGTTCCTGACCCTATAGTGCTCCTTTAACCCTTAGGGTGTGACATGAACCCTATAAACTTGCAGTAGCGAGTAACATTTAAAGCCTGGCTAGCAGTGTAGGACCTAAAATGTTAAGCCCTGCATACAATACATAGTATTCTAAGGGTTGTGAACTTTTGGCATACAGGAGTGTGTAAGAGATCACCAAAGCAATACAGATTACTAAGTGCATAATTAAAGTGCCGTATTTGTGTTCAGAAATTGTCTTGGACCATCAACACTGCATTTGGTTCTAAGAGTAGAATTATCTGTCATTGTGTTCAGGGTAGAATGAAACACAGGTTTGAGGCTTTAATAGGTAAGTAATGAAAATACTTGGTTCTTACTCTAAATTTCAATTACCCGTAGCCATCAGTAGGCCATGAGGTCACCTATAATGCTCCAGAATAGCTCTGTTTTTAGACAGACATCAAACTGCCAAAACAAAATGTCCCTTTTTGCCCATTTGAAAATTACTGAGGCATGGTTATACACGTGTCATAGAGCGCCCAATGGAAACTCTGGATATCTAAATCTATTTTCTGTAGATAAATTAGCATTTGTACATATTGCTTTTTCCAGGCTTCCTATCTTCAAGCGTGAATTCCCGGCTGCAAGTGGATCTGGCTTCATTGTATCGGAAGATGGCTTAATCCTTACTAACGCCCACGTGGTTACAAACAAACATCGACTGAAGGTGGAGCGAAGCGATGGGTCAACTTACGACGCCAAAATTATTGATGTGGATGAAAAGGCAGATATTGCCCTCATCAAAATCAATCCAAAGGTATTCAAACCAAGTGTTTGATTTGTTATTGTTAAAATTAGATATCCAGACAACATGCTCCTATTTCCACAGTATGATAGTAGCAGTGCAACAATAACTTCAAGCCTGGTTTAATTGTGTTATTCTGGCAGCCGTGTCTGTCACTTACTAGAAACACTTTCATGATATTTTGCTTCATATTGTGTTTTTTCCCAGTAAAGTTATGTTTAATCACAAAAAATAGAAATGTTGTAACTAAAAAAAAGTTAAAGAAATAGTTTCACCCCTTTCATGCTTTAGCGCAAACAGCCTTTAACCCCTTAAGGACCGAACTTCTGGAATAAAAGGGAATCATCACATGTCACACATGCCATGTGTCCTTAAGGGGTTAAACTTCTGTTAACACTCAAAATGCCTTTGGCTATTCATTCTCTGCTTGGGTTGGTTAACCATGTTCTCTTTATCTTTATTAGTGACAAAAAAGTTTAGTTTTTTTTTTTTACTCTTTCTGAACTGAACAGCTACGATTCTTTTTCTTTTCTTAATAGGCTTGTGCATTGTGTAAGAATTCTGCACAGCCACACAGTGACGGATCCAGAACTTAATCTCGGATGGGGCACTGGCAGGTTATTTAAAGGAACACTCAAGGCACAATAACTGTAGTGGTTATTGTGTCAGGAGTGCCCTCGCAGAGTAAGTAGTCAAACCGTTTAAGAACTGTCTGACGACTTACCTGGTGTCTGCTGGGATATGGTCGGTAGTGGGGGTTAAGAGCTGTAGTGAGGGCTGTGTTTCATTTTACCCTGAGCACAATGGCACTGCAATCTCTGTTGTGGGGGCCAGAAGCACAAGTGGCAGCCCTGATCATGGGCTAGGGAGCATGGCATCACGGCCATTGCTTGATTGCTCGAGGGGTGGATCACTTGCCCCTGAATCCACCCCTGCGTCCACAACTGTTCATCTGGTGGAAAAATTATGTATTTTGGGTGATTCAGATTTTGTCTATCAGGCATTTCAATTCAGACGAGTTTTGTCTATGATATTGTTTTGGGACGAATAATCAAAATGGCTTTAAATTTGCCAATCAATGCTCTGCAAAATATAAATAATATGTGTATATTTTGTAGAACACTGATAAACTTGCATTTTTGTGTCACTTGGTTCCCAGATCAAAATCAAACCATCAATCATATTTTATGGCACTACAGACAGAACTCTGTGATAGTGTGACCAGGGTCTTCCTAACTCCTTTCTCTAATGGTAGTTCTGCAGAATATGTTGGTGCTATATAAATACTACTACTAGTAATAATAAGCAATTAGCAAGAGACCATATTTTGGGCTGCTGGTACAGGATGGGAGTGCTCTCAATGTCCTGCACACATGGAGATTAGAGTCCTGTCTTCTCTGGATATTGCAAAACCGGTCACAAAGCCAACATGAACTGTACAATATAACGTCACTGATTTAATCAGAGCCAGCCTACGTTTCTCCATAATGCTGGATCTGTTCCTTAAATCTGTTAAACGGCATGACAGTGATCTTAATTTCTGGTTAGAGATGGTTGGACATGATCCAGATAAAACATTTTTTTTAGAAAGGCCGAGTATACAATAGTCCTTTCTAGAGAAGACTATACACATTACTTTAGGTGTGAGGTGGATTTTAAATATTACTCAACTATAAGTGTCACACACATCATGGAGACAGGGCTGGTAGGGAAGTACGGATGAGGTTATCTAGGCACCCATTAAGGGACTCTGGGAGTGCCAACGGTGCACAGGTGAAATACTTGCCTTGCAGCCAATGCTGGCAACCCATGCTACGCCACTGCTTGTGAGGACAATGATCACCTGTTCATTGTTGCAATTCACACACGTGGGGACCGTACACTCTCCAACGAATAGTAGCTATCCCACCTGTGCAACCAAGATGGCCAATCCCCTTGTAAATGCAGATATGAAAAATAAAGGATCTGGCCACTTCAGCGGTCATGACATTTCTACCACGCTATGTGATCTTTATCAGAGGCCCGCTGAAGTGCCTAACTCCTTTATTTTTAATTTTTGCAGGCATTAAGAATTAACTTTTAAAAGATAATCACGCCATATTGTACCATTCTACTTTGTATATTCTAGTAATGGAAGGATTGTGTTTCTGTAGGGAAAGTTACCTGTGCTGCTTTTGGGTCGCTCTGAGGAACTGCGTGCTGGAGAATTTGTGGTTGCCATCGGGAGTCCCTTTTCCCTTCAGAACACTGTTACCACTGGTATTGTGAGTACGGCTCAACGTGGCGGGAAAGAGCTTGGCCTGCGGAACTCGGACATGGATTACATCCAGACTGATGCCATCATTAATGTGAGTGTGTAAGCCATCATTTAACCCTGCATCCTCCCATCCCCCCAAAAAACAAAAATCTACTGTGCTTTTAACATTACCAAAAACTATTAGTCAGCTTTCAGAATTCTGCATTTCAGCTGGAAATAATGGTGGCTTCAATGACGATGACTCGGAGCTCAGTCTCTAGTCGTGGTTTGAATGCTGACCTTTTCTGCCCTCTTTTTCAGCTTTGGATGACTGCCATTGTAGAACGGAAAAAAGCTGCACTCGCAATAATTTACACTGCATTAATCTGAGACAGCCACAAAACACTTTAGGGTTTGTTTTCTAAATAGTGAGTTGAAAGGATTTGAAAAAAACATATTTTGTTTTAAATTTAAGTAAAAAAATAAATAAAAAGAAACTTTAGTTTCTAAATTTGAGTTTCAGTTCATCTTTGTTCTTATTTAAGGATAAAACACTTTTGTAAAAAATTGGTGCAGTGTCACCAATAGGGTTGACATCACATGGCTTCTAAAATGGCAGGAAATGGAAACAACATTGGTGGCTGACAGGGAGCCAATATGGAGGTATCCAGTTTCAAGATAGATGTGTAGACATCTACATGTAATTTTAGTTTTCAGACCTCGCTAAATATAAGGGATATATAAACATAATATGAAAATCCTGGGCAGTGATAGTTTCCTTTTAAAGGGTAATTCCAAGCACCATTACCACTTCAGTGATTTGAAACTCCTCTCTGATCAGGAAGAGGCTCAACCAATCCCATGCCTGTCTTCCTGTTCTGCAGGATAAGTACTTTATCCCATCACATAGAGTGGAATTGTTCAGTAAGTTGATAGCAGCCATGCACCTGTAGGTTTATGCACAGCGTGGTCCACAGATTGGTGAAGCAAACTGTGTGCAGTGGATTTTAGAAGCCACCAATCACGTGTGTGTGTTTCTTACTTATGTCCAGAGAGTTGTCCCTCTAAGGCTGTCCTTCTGCACATGTTGGACAGACCTCACACGACAAAAGAGAAAGTAAAACCTTTGACGTGTCAGAGAGTTGCTTTAAGTTACAGTAATTTTCCATATATGCTGTTATAGGCCAGCAATGATACAAATGATGGCACTTAGAGCGATCATTTAAGAAACAAAAATGTGTGATGGCCCTAAATGTAAAAGAAAGTAAAATATTAATAAATAAAAAAACACAAGCATAAAATACGAGTTTCTTTAGATCTGTTGTGCATCCGTTAAGCAATGAATTGTATTGACATAATATCCCAAAATAGCAATATTGCCAACTCTTTTTTAACCTTCATTTTTCATCTTCCTTACGACGTTAAAATTCAATGTTTAGTGACTAGCACTCACTGTGCAGTAAATGATAAAAGCAGATAAATGCCAAGCACCATAACAACTGCAGCCTCCACTATCCGTGCTGGAAAGCCATTAGTTCCTAAACAGGAACTTTGTTTGCTTAGCTGATTAATCAGTATTATTATCGGGTAGTTACTTTAAAGATTGTTCAATGGATTCAATCAATCAATATATAGTGCAAGCCAAGACTGGCCACAAGACAGATCATTTGCCGTCTTAGAACTGGAACTATCTTAATGCATATGCATCCTAAAACAAACATCATGGGAATTCTAATTCGGGGGATCCCAAGTAGATAATCTACCATTTGCCAGCTCTGGTGTTAAAGCTTTGACCCCATATGCATATTATAGATAGGGCAGTTTGAGCACAGATTAGTGTGTATTGTGTGGTTCTAGGGTGTTTCAAAGGCAGACCCCTTACTTGGTGTAATAGAGGTTTTAATGTTGGCCACCTGTGATGTAGATTACAATAAATATACACCCTAGAACAGGGGTAGGCAACCTTTTAGCAGCACTGTGCCAATATAGGATTGTGATGTCCCGTAGCGTGCCGATCCTATTTTTTTAAATTGAGGTATGTATGCTGCCATATTCTGCTTGTTATTTATACTGTAACTGCTTTGTATTGTTGTATTTGTGCGTATATGAGCTATTATATTGTATATGTTCAGGAGTAGTTTGTGGTATCATGTATGATACATATGAATGTGGGCTGTGTATGGGGGCTGCTTGTGGAATTGTGTGTATGTGAATGGATATGTCACATTTTGTGTTTGGTAGTGTGTGTATGTGTGGGGGCTGTTTGGGGTATTGCATGTGAGAGGCTGCATGTGGGGTTGTGTGCATGTATGTGGATTCTTAGCGGGTTATGTTTGTGCGGATTGTATGTAGTCTTCTGGGCTATTCGTATTATTTGTATGTATTATCGTATTATGTGCTGCAATGCATAAATTGAGGATTGTCCTTCACCACCTTTTCGTATTAGCAGATATCTGAAGTTTCACTGGGACTCCTGATAGGCCAGAGCCTGTTTGGCTGTAGCAGCCTTGAGTGCCGTGCAAAGACACCTTGAGTGCTGTGCATGGCACTAGTGCCGTAGGTTGCCTACCTCCGCCCTAGAACCACACAATACATACTATGTACTGTGCTCAAACTGCCCTAAGATGTTCTATTGATAACCAAAACCAACAGCATGTACCATGTATTTTATGTGTAGCATACATGTGTGCTTTCATTTGATATTTCATGTTAGTTGGCAAGTATTGTACACAACGCATTCCTAGACTTTCTGCCCGCGAGGGTAATAGGAAACAGTTCTCGAATTTGGACATGTGTTTAAGTTTACAAATACAGATGGTTAATCCGACTTCACTCATAACACATTCCCCCTACAGCCATAATCACAAACACTGGGCACCTAAAAAAAAAACCTTTTATTAGATTTACAAATAAAGAACTTATTTGAATAGTTTTTTTCTCGTGGAGCTAAATTTTGACTTGTGTTGACCTGACAACGGAGTGGTATAATTTAAACCAAAATTGCTTTATTGGAAAGAGTCACTGTTGAGTGAATAAGCCCCTATTTTCATAACAAATAAGCAACATCTTGAAAAAGTCTCAAAAGAATGAGACAGTTGCGTTCTGTTTACTCTGGCTGTTTTAGTGCGGGATTAAACAAAATCAGTGAGTAATGTTTGTGGGTAACAGTGCGTTTATTTGCCTTGCAGTATGGGAATTCTGGAGGTCCTCTCGTGAATCTGGTAAGAGCTCTCTGTCACCCCCTCCCTGCCCTGCGGTCTATACTATCTGTGTGTTCTTTATTCCTGTGAGAACATGTTAACTGACTGGGGCTCTGCTGAAGATTTATTCTAGCGGCACAGCAATTATTTCAGCACACAAGTATGTATCATTGGCAAAAGTAATAAAAGGGTTGATGGTGTGTTCGGAGGGGCTTACTCATTGAGTGCTAATGATGAATTGAAGGAAACTTACATGAAAGGAACGTATAATTGGCAGTGTCTAGGGAAAAGCTTTAGTCACAGACTACAAAATGAATGTCATTCTCACGCAGACCCCTGTGATAGACAGTCAAACCTCCATGTACCTCAAACGTATTACTATTCAGGATGTAACGGTCTATCAGTTGTTGGATGTAAGCATTGCACAGTCCACTCCATGAATCTTTGGAGTAGAATTATACAAGTGTATTTAAAATAATAGTGGTGCAAAGTTCTAAAAGTGCAGCAGTCACGATGGAAACTATTTGACTCCACAAGCGTTTCCATTGCAACTGCCTAAAACACACATACACTCACACACACTACGGCCAAAGTTCCGAATTGCACTAATCCACAATAACATTCCATGGAGAATGCTGCACTGTAAGAAGATTGCCCCAGAGAGTCGAGAAAAACAACCACATTCAGAGCAATATAATCTGCATTAAGGACACATGTTTAACCTAACAGTCCTTCCCAGATACCCAGCTTTGTTGCTGCTCATTATAATCTTCTAATGATGTGATTTGTACCTGTGCTGCTGGCAATAGCACCACATTTCTTGTGAAACATCCTCGATCAGACAAATTCTCTTTAACGAGGAGAAATTAGTATTTTCTTGCTGAGAAATGGATGACTCTAGAAATAAGAAGAGAGTGAAATCCGTTGATTCCATAATAAGATGCAGGTGTTGAGGGATAACGGGCTTCCCTAACGTTAAAAACGACAGCTCATGGAGGGCGGGGCCTGGCCGCCATACTGAGTGGTCGCATGGTCGGTTAGCTCCTCTCTTAACCTTTCTAAAAGGACCAAATCAAGGGCTCACCGACGCTTAATCAACACTAGCTGTGTCCCAAGATTGCTGAGAGACTACCGGACCTTTACCAGAGCGATCGTGTGACTCGCAGGGACTGAGATCTGAATCTTGATAATTGCGGCCCGGCGAGACCCGAGCGGGAGGGACGGCAGACTTCCTGGATGAGAATCAAACTGACTCTACAGCGGTCTGGGTCCCGTTTCTATCCCCTTCCTCCCCCTCCTCTGGACCGGCGAGGGATATCCCGGTCCCCACTGGCCCACAGTTCATGCTGCCGCCAACCATGGCAGTTGCATCAGTTGAGTGCCAACAACTATCGCAAATCGCAAGATGGCGGCTATACTCCCTCAGGGTGAACTCAGAAATAAGCAGCCTGAAGTGCTACAGCCCAGCCCCACAGAACAATCTTGGCAGCGGCTAGAGGAACTCATTGACAGGTTCTGGGTCTCTTTGGAGGCATGTCCGCAGCCCTCATTGTCTCAGGGGAATCGTGAGATTCACCTGTAGCAATAGCCGTTGTGCCTCATGTTGCCCTCTTGACCACAATAAGCCTGACTAGCAGTAAGCTTCCTATACTTGATCGTTATGCCTAAGTTAACCATTTCATTTTATTCTTGTATAAATAGCTAGATGCAGCCATACTGAATATGCCAGTGGTTTTCAATTCTATTTTCTGGTCAGCACACGTTTAGTTAATTTTTGTACAAATGTGTTGGTACCTCATGTACTAATCTTTAGCCACGTGTCTTAACTCCATCTAAGGATAGCAGCGTATATTTTGACCGCTGTTAGGACACGTCTGACCAATATGTTTATATACCCTCTTAAAGAAAATAAACCGCATTCTCTACACGTCATGTTTCATGCTCATCATCTTTCGTGGCTCACTTAATTATGTGTGACATGTTTACTCAAATCTATGTGTTATACCCCTGCATGACAAAAATAAAGATTTAAAAATTAAATAAATAAGTGACAGTTCCTGATTTTTGTGTATGATATTTTTTGTGTTTGTTTTTACGCACTGCATGCATGTTCAATTTGCAACATGAGATTTATTTTGCTACAGGATGGAGAAGTAATCGGTATTAATACACTGAAGGTCACCGCTGGGATCTCATTTGCTATCCCATCAGATAAAATCCGGAAGTTTCTGGCAGAGTCACATAACCGGCAATCAACAGGTGAAATGGCGTTTGATAAAAGCAGTACCAGATCATTATTGGGTTAGCTAGGGCTGCCAGACTAGCCTAGGCTCCTGGGTGTTTTTAATATCATATTGAGAGATACTATTAGAGATCATTGTACTAAGTTAGTAGTTCTTCCAGTAGTAAACGCTGTATAACTAACCTGTCTATAGCTATCCGGCATCTAACAAATACTACAATGTCTTTGTTTTTCAAGGTCAAGGTATAAAGAAGAAAAAATATTTGGGGATACGGATGATGTCATTGAACCCAGCGTGAGTATTCTGACTGTATGTATAAGTTGTCCTGTCACTAGGGTAGTGCTTCCAGTGAAAATAGACTCATGTCTGTGTTTGGCATAGCAAATTCTGGAAAATCTAACCTGCAGTTTTGAAGGCTAAATTTATTATCATCCAGTTTAAGCTAACTAGATTCTTAATGGATACAAATCAAAATCAGTTTGGAGATAGTGAAGTGATCTCAATTTTAATTTGTTTTTAATGTACATTTTTGGCTGAGAAGTCACTTGCCATGTGGGAACTCCAGCCGCTGTATCACAGGTTTGATTCTTGGCAATGTTAACTAATCTCTTTGTCCTTTCAAATTTAGAGGGTGAATACATTTGTACCGTTATGGCCCTTCAACCTTTTGACATCAATTAAATTGGGACATAATTCGAAACTGTCGCCATGTGAAATATACTTTTTGGATTTATCACTTTATTACTTATATACTCTAGAATCTAATGATAACAAAAATAAAATTGTCAAAGGGAACTTTGTAACTTTCCCCTTGCAGCAAAGTGAAAGAGCTCCGGGAGCAGCTGAAGGATTTTCCAGATGTGACCTCAGGAGCTTACATTGTAGAAGTTCTCCCAGATACCCCAGCAGAAGAGTAAGTATATGATTTCTCCCAGTTTCTTGAACACAATAACGATTTACTCAAGAAGGCACTCCAAGACCCAAAACTTACTACAGCACTCTTTAGTGGTTATGGTAACAGGAGTGCCCTGATGCCCTCCCAGAGTAATGTGTCAAACTGTTTTAGGATGGTTTGACAACTTACCTTAGTCAGCTTGTGCTGGACAGCTGTAGCCCTACTTCCAGATTCTCCTTGCAGCTGGGTGTCTTTACTACACTAACCTAATTGGCTGAAAGCATCAGTTGAGCCCTCTCAGCATATGAGCACTCTCCTGTATCCGACCTGCTTAGGTCTTGGCCTTCAGGAGGAAACCTAATGTGGCACAGGCACCTGGAGTATCTGGGTACGTTGTCAAACTACAGTAAAATGGTTTGACGGGTTACTCTTGGAGTATTCCAGGGCACTCCCGGCACCATAAATACTGCTTTAGCACAGTCTTGGTTCTGCTGTGTGCCTGCACCACATTTGGTTTCTCCAGCAGGAGAAACTGAATGTCATTTTAGAGCAAAGGGAGTCTGCGTAACTTTGCTCTAAAATTACATCATGCTGGAGAAGACTGGGTGTAGTGCAGCTAGGTGACAGCACTTCACTACGTTCTCAAACCTTACATAAAAGTGACATGTTACCATGGCATGGCGCAGTGGGCTGTAGGGTTTATGGTGCTTGGAGTGTTTCTTTAAGTAATCACCTTGCAATCTGATAGTATAAACTTGACATGTCCACTAAACGTAATCACTAGTGCTTATAGGTTCTATAGAACAAACAACTTGATTTACTAAATGGCAATAAAACAGATGTATACTCAGCAGTCAGTAAAAATGTCTGTAATATTTACTATTGCAAACCGATTTGATTCACTAGATTTAGGGTCGGCACTCCTGGGGGTGCAACCAAGGTAGTTGTGCCAGGACTCACCAAGCTGAGACTTTGCTAGTGTGACTAGAATTCCTGATTCATTTATTATGGAGATCAGTGGGCACAGACTGGTCTCTATGGTGGCAGTACCAGAATAAAGGAAGCATGGAGTGCAAACATGGCTCTCCATTCATTCTTTATTCTGGCGGAAATGAGTATAATAAAATAATTACTGCGCCATCATCATATATCCCAGCAGGCATTGGTTTTCTTGACCTGCAAAACAAAAACACTCTGGGGTCTATTCACTCAATGCCAGATTTGCTTTTGCAATTTGCCTGTTTGCATTTGATTGTTAAAAGAGCAGAATGGATCCCTGCTACTTCCCAATGGATTTCATTGCTGCAAATAAGCGTATTAGAAAATAGCTCAACCAAATTGCACTTGAAACATTCATTTTGTTTGTCTGATTTGTTCATTGCAAAGAGCTGAAAGTCTGTAAAGTTTGACAATAAATCAGATTTTCAATGCGGGCTGAATCATTTTGATCCAGCTGTATAATGCTACTTTTGTTAGGTGTTATTAGAATGCTGTGTTAAGACGCCTTGAACTAAAACACTTCCTTAAACTACATGTGTTTTATGACTTTTTGTTTGTGTCTTCCAGAGCTGGGTTAAAGGAGAGTGATGTTATTATCAGTATTGGTGGCAAGACTGTCACGTCCAGTAATGATGTCAGTGATGCGGTCAGACAAGATGGCATCCTTCGCATAGTGGTACGGCGTGGCAACGAAGACATAGCAATCACAGTGACACCAACAGAAATTGATTTATAAGGAGACATGAGCTGGTTTCGTAGTCCTCCACTCGTTTGGCCCCTACCCCTTTAATGACAAGCCTAGTGGGAGAATGAGATCAGTAAACAATGATAGGGCTATCTGGGTTATTTACTAAATCATGGATTTCACATTTAAGGCCATATTAGAAAATTCTCTCCAGTTAAGGTACTTTTGGTTATACTTTGCAATTCCTGGTATAGTGAATAATGAATTAATAGTTTAATAGCCAGTTTTACCAAGGTACTTTACTTTACCTGACTGAATGCTCTTCCTGGGCTGCTTTATAAAGAGTTGCGATCACCCTTAGATAATAAAACATCATTGTGCTGGGTTTCATTGGTGTGAAAACTTTGCTTAAATAAATAATTTTTTTTTTAAAGGGTGGTTATGTTTCTTTAATTATGTGTTTGTACTGTAGCCCAGTGTTTGAGCACATGTATACGTTTTTTTTTCTGTTTTATTGATTTGGAATCGTAACTCTTTTTTTTTTGTGTTTTGAATTCAGTCGAACATAACAGGAATGCAGTTTTTTGTGGAAACATTATAAGGTCATGCGTTGTTATAGACCAGCGGTTCTCAACCCAGTCCTTGGGACCCCCTAGCAGTCCAGGATTGTGTGTCTAAGGTGTTTAAAAAAAAAAAACACCTTAGACTCTAAGGTGTTTTTTTTTTTTCTTTTTCTAAACACCTTAGACACACCCAGGTAATCCCTAAACTCTGGACTGGTAGGGGGTCCTGAGGACTAACGTTGAGGACCCCTATAGACCCACTTCCCATCAGAAGAGCCGTGGCTCCACCCGACACATCCCAGTTTCATACTTAGGGGGGTATAGCCTACAGGAGCAGAGTGGCAGCATGACTGGGACAGTATGATCTCTTTCCCCCTTTTAAGTGGGCTGACATTGTTTTGGACTCAATTTGCATATATTGGTGTCGTACTTTGTGATGGTACTAACCCGTGTGTGAGGGTGGGACACCCCTTTATAGGCGTGTGTGTCCTTTAGCCTGCCCCACGCCCTCTCATGTTGCATGGTATGTAATCTCCTGCTTGGAGGGGGGGGAAGGGGTATTGCACGATAATTGGTGCTTGTTTATGGTTGTGCCTCCACCTGTTGGGACAGGTCGTGACACTCTTATTCCATTCTGTGTTCTCCCGTTGACTTGTGGCCTCCAAGGGAGAGTTAAAATAGACTCTGAATAAGGGCACTCCTTAGTTAGCATTTTAATGTTCAACATAAAAATAAGGTTATGCATTTGGTAAATAGCAAAATGACCGAGTGCCACTGAAAGGTGCACATTTATACTTAGTCTATTTTTTGAAAGGAGGAGCTTACAAATATATGTTTAACCCCTTAAGGACCAAACTTCTTGAATAAAAGGGAATCGTGACATGTCACACATGTCATGTGTCCTTAAGGGGTTAATTTGAACCTTTATTTAGCACCACAAGTGAGTGAGAAGCATGATAAATATTTTGGTAAGCGTGATACTTGGGATTGTTAGCATAAATTATTATTGATATGGGCCTTACAAGGGCTCATCAAGTTCCATTTTGCTGTCTTCCTAGTTGGCTAATATACCCGGTCAGGTATGTATGCATGCATGGTATCATAAGTTGTACAGATCCAGATAGTAAATGGCACTTGTTACAAAGACTATGATAAAGCAACTTGTGCCAAGAATAATCAATCTTATAAAGAATTTAGCCCAGGATAAAAGGACGACTCTACAACCTTGTACACTTTAGGGGTTATCACCAAGGGATTATTTACCCTTTATTAAAAGCAGCTGGTGGAGGTGCAAGAGACACTTCAGCATTTCTATTTATCAGGGCTCAAACTTTACACTCAACACTAGTCACTGGCCAGTGAAAATTCACCCCCGGTTAGTGTGCCATAGACCCTTCAGACCTTATAAGATAAGGCCAGGGACTAATGAAAGTATTTAGAACATTGGGCAGACTCGATAGACCTAATGGTTCTTATCTGCCCAGTCTTACTATGTACAGTGGCAAGTAACTTTTAGACCTGGCTAGTAGCTTAGGACTTACATTTTTGAGCCCTGAATTTTTAATACTGGACTGGAGTGGTCCTTTAACAATTTCTCCCCTAGCTTAAAGATTCATCTTCTGTTAATCACCAGGAAATGCTAAATATCAGAAGAATAACATAACTTGTAACTCTCCAGAGACTAGCTGTCACCGCTCAGGCATATGTTCTGCACATTCGCTATAAGGTTTTCTCATGAGAACTTGGCCAGATTTGTATTTGTCTTGAACACAATCTACTAAAAGCAGCACAGCTTTGTTGACAAGGAGCTGGAGTGTCTCTCCTGCCATTAGAAGTACAGCTGCCAATTGTACAGAGATCAAGAGATCTCAAATAATCTGACATTTTAATGGCAACTTTTTAAATAAAATATTTTTTTTTTCCCTTCCAAAACTATTCTAAGCCGCACTCACATTTAAAGTTACAGCGAATCAATGGAAAGGATTTATTAACAAAGAACCTTAAAGCAAAAGTGGCACTAGATATTTACTAACCACGTGTATTCACTTAGTGCCATTGGCCATCTAAATACAAACCAAAAGGATGGCGGCTGAGTCTCTTTTACAAGTTTACCTCTTTACCGTGGGTGATAGTGAGATATATTCTACTCTATGTAGATTTTCACAACAGTGCTGCTCTGTCAATAACCCATAATCTTTTCTGTATTGTTAAGTTACTATTGCACTTTATTATATTAGTTTTGCCCTGCACAATCCACTAATCCTTAACATTTCTATTTTTTGACACTAGTCACTGTTTCTTAAAGGACCATATCGCATTAAAGTGGCCTGGATGCAGTGTCTCTGAACCCTTAATTCTAGAAACTCCAATGTTTATAGTACATGATTAAGACTCCCTCTAGTGGTTGTCTACCAGACATCCAGCATAGATGCTACCTTCTGTTTTACGGAGTGTGACTTCACAAAACGAAACGAAAATTCCCTGTAGGAAAGTACAGAGTCAATGATTTTGTATGGTGAAGTCACAGCACAAGCATGCTGTGCATGCACATTAGGTCCCCCCTATTATTTATATCTGAGGAAGAGCAGGAGGCGGCTCTAGAATCAGGTAAGCGTTTAAAGTTTTTTTTTAAAAACCCTTTTGAACGAAGTCCAAGTGGCAAAACGTATGGAAAAAGTCTTCAACATAACGGGCTGCTCCAGTGCTTTGAAATCTCTATGTGCAGAGTTTCAGTACGAAATGCTACACAGATATCTGGGGTTACTGCTGGAAGAATTATCCACCGGCAGAAGCATCATTATCCAGACGGGAACGAGAGTTTCAGGCTGCTCATGTTAAAACTGCATCAACAACAACAACAACCACCACCATCTGTTAGTACTCATAGCATATTGATAGATGTCCAGTGTTGGCTTGACCACAGCCTCTGTGCTGCCCTAAGCCCACCTCCCTGCAGTGACCGTAATGTCATGAAAGAAAGATCGGATTGCAGGGAGTACTTGGCCTTGGCTATGGATGAAAGTTTTTTGTTTATTGGAGACGAGGTTGTGCCAGCAAGAGCTGCCCCAACAACGATACAGAAAACAAACTGTTTTTTTTGTTGGCATAACGTTTCAACAATAGTCACAACCATGTTCTTTTAACCTACATTTTGCCGTTTAGATTTTAATCTGGAGTTAATTCTGTTAATCTGAAATTCACTGTGGAATTGTGAGTTTAAGGTTAACAACAGTCAGACTGGAAACTTAATTTAGCAGACACTAAAATCTGTCTGATTCTCTATTTTGGCCCCAAAATGGTCAACTTGTGTGAATTTCCAATAGTTCCCAGGCTCTATATATCTTTATGTCCACAGTCACATCTATGTTGTATTAGAACATCTGATTCAGCTTGTAAGCTTTATGAGCATCATGGGAATTCTAGATCAATAACAGATCGCTAGCTCTGCACGTTTGCCCTACAAAATGCACATTCGGATCAGTTATAATAGGAGGAATACAGAGCAATTGTACTCTTTAGCTGCACACGGAATGAATCAGTCTGCAATATTCATGCTAGAAACATATGGGAAATAATGAAAGACTTTAAACACTTGAATTATAACAGACAGACTAATGGTGCATAAAATGTAGCTGTGTACGGATATCAAATGTCCACTAGAGGGAACCAACGGAACACTTTATTTCCATTGGAGAGCACACTATTGACAACACTTTTTTGGGGGGAGTAATTCTGTTTGGTGACCAAATAGTCATTTTTAAGAAAGGAAACAGGCAAAAAATATATAAATAAGGAAACCGCACAGGTTTCTGCTTCGCAGCTCCTACTCTTAAGATAAATAATATTATGTGAAGACAGAGGAGAGGAAATATATAAAACATTATATAAACACAGAAACTCATGTCATCAGTGGCTTTTTCCTAAAGATTTATCAACCTATAATAATCATAAAAACACAGATGGGGGGGGGTGTGTCCTGCAGCCGACCTGAATGGCCGCTCACTAAACCAGCTCCGAGCAAAATGGGCAGAGATCGCACTAAAAGGAGGATTATACCCGAGATGGGGAACAACAAACGGCACCAAACCCCTCACCAACCACAGGAGAAACCACCAGCAGGTAAACCGGGCTCGGTCACCCGTCTGTTTAAAGATTATGCCGACCGAACGGCAGTCACTGGGGAATCCAACATGGCGCCGGCAGCAACTCACACAGACTCCGAACCACTAAGCCCTGCTCAGTCAGAAGCCTCATCAGCCTCTGCGGACGCGGACATCAAAGACATCTTGAAAAACCTGCCGTCAAACTAGATCAAGCACAAATGCTAGGAAAACTGGAAACTGCCTTCCAACTCAAAATGGAGGGCCTGAGCTCAGAAATCACACAGGTAGGCAGAAGGGTACGGGACTTGGAAGATGACAGGGGTTCCTGTCAGACACAGATACAAGACCTCACCCAAGCACTCACAATCCAAGAAAGGCATTTATCCATGATGCAGAGATCATTGGATGATATAGATAATAGGGGCAGAAGGAACAATTTACGCATTAGGGGGATGCCGGAGGCAGAAAAAGAAAACTTAAAGGTACAGCTAACCACCTTATTTAACCTTATACTAAACCGCTCCCCAGACGCCCCAGTGGTACTAGATAGGGCACACAGATCCCTATGACCTAAAAATGGCACGAGCGAGGCACCACGTGACGTTATTTGCCGCATCCACTACTATACCCTAAAGGAGGACATCCTAAGGGCACTAAGAGACACGTCCTCACCACTATTATACCAAGGACACGAAATCCAGATATACCCTGATTTATCCTGGCACACCCTCCAGGCAAGAAGAGTGCTACGGCCGATCACAGACCAAT